TTATGAAATAAATATTTCTTAAAGCACTTGGAAAAAAAAAAAACGAATAGTTTGCTCTCTGAAGATTTAAATTTTATTCTCCCCCCACCCCCTTTATCAGTGCTGGGGGTTGACTCCGGGAGTTACTCATGTTGGGCAAGCGCTGTACTTTATTCTGCTTTTAAAAGCTACAGCAAACCCGAGCATCACCCAGGCAGCGAAGAAGCCCCTGTGCACCTGCATCGTTTTCCCTTCCTCCCTCCCCGGCTGACCAGCTCTGCCTGCAGCCCACGCGCCACCCTTTTCCTTCCCTGTGCCTGACCTGAAGCTGTGAACTCTCTGAGCTTCTCCCTTTTGCACACTGAAGCACACAAAGAAAGGCTCTGGCAACTGCAGGCATGTTCACCTCAGCAATTCTAGAAAACACTCTGTAATTACTAAGCAGAAAGCATGTAGTTTTGAGGGGGCTGGAGGCTAAGTCTTCAAATACAAAATCCACATCCATTTTCTATCTCGTCTTTCCAGCAGGCTAAGAGGGATGGGGGAAGAAGCTCTGAGTGACTCACTAGAAGAATAGCACCTAGGGGTTTGAAAAAAGATCAGATGGCACTTTTGGGGGTATTTATTGGGCACTTGTGCATCATTTTTGTAATATGGTTCAAGTCTTTGGTCATTTTAAATTGGGCTCTTTGTCTTTTTATTGTTGATTTGCAAGCATTTTTATATATTCTGGATGCACATCATTTGTCAGATGCATGTTAAAACTATTTTTCCCCCCAGTCTGTAGTTAGTCTGTTCGCTTTTAAAATAATATCATTTTGTGAACTGAAATTTTAAATTTTTAAGAACTCTAACTTTGTTTTTTTGGATGGGACTTTTTGTGTTCTTTCCAAGGTCTCTTTGTCTACCTCAAGATCATGAAATTATTGTGCTTTATTCTAGAAGCTTTTTAGCTGTGGGTAATACATGCAGGTGTATCATCTATTTAATTTTGAATATGGAGTCAGACAAGGATTGAGGTTCAATTTTTTCCACATGTGTATCTAGTTGGTTCCAACAATATCATTTAAAAATCTTTCCCGATGAATTAAAGCCAACAACTGGAAGTGATCCAAATGTCCACTGACAGGTAACTGAATAAACAATCTATGGTAGATTCATATAATGGAATATGCTTTTCCAACTTTTTAAAAATCAAGTTATAAATCCATGCAGTGTTCTGAATGAATCTCAAAGACATTATGTTGAATGAAAGAAACAACACAAGAGTTCTTACTGTACCATTCCACTTACATGAAATTCCAGAACAGCCACCACTGATGCTATAGTGACAGAAAGCAAATTAGTGGTTTCTGGTTTGGGGAAGGCTAGAAACTTCTGGCATGATGGAAATGTTCTGTACCCTATTTGGGGCGTTGGTTACTTGTGTATACATAATTGTCAAAATGCATCCATCTGAACATCTAAGGGCTGCACATTTCACTATATATATATGTTAATTACCTTCACTTTGAAATATATTTCAAAAGATTAGATTGTGAACCTTCCTACACCATGCCCCCAAAATAGCAAAGTTCCTCCCTCTCCACAGATGGCTTGCTGATGGAGGCTGGAAGAGAGAGAGCACACAGAGCCCTTGACTTTTCCCTGTTCCTGAGACTGTGGGATAGATCTTTCAAAACATTGGCTAGGAGACTTGCATTCAAAAGCAGCTGAATAAATAATGGCTCTTTGGTGAGTTGTTTTTTCCCCCCTCTGTGTTTGGAAATTTGAACCTGGTGTATCTCTCCCAAGCATATTTCATTTAGAAGATAATTTACATTTGCACAAAATCATGGCTATGGCCCATCTGCTCAAGGATTATGTAAGATCCAACACTCATTAGAGTGTGACGTGCCTTGATCTTAGCGAGCGTATGAACTTGTGTGCTTGGGATTCAAGTTCTTCTAAAATAACTTCCAGCTCTGACCAGCTACCCATTGTCTGACATTGTCTTGGGAACATCTCAGAGTTGATTTCCATTTTAGGGAAATTACATTAAATTAAATTGGGCTTTAAATTCCCAATTGCTACAGCAGGTTTTCTGCTGTAGTTAAGCAAGATTTTGTTACAGTTGTGGAGGGCTGTGGGCTAGAAGAAGAGTGGCTTGGTTCTTTATACCTGATGGTTTTTTTTTACCACTGCAGATTATTTGCAACAATGAAACAGTTGGAGCAGTAACATGATTCATATTAATATATGCACGGAAATTGTTCCGAATGATATTAACATAATTTCGGTGCTTTGGTTTCCCCTCCGAAGTTGAGACTACTGGTTTATTTACAGTCTGCAGTAAGCACAGCCAGGCAGTTATGTTGGTGACAGGTGGTGGGGAAGGGAAGGCCATGTGCTCTGGATCAAGGGGCGAATGTTAACATTGCAGCGTGTGGGTTCAGCTCTTCAGAGAGGTTGGAGCCAGAGGGAGAAGCAGAGAAAAACAAAGGCTGCTTCAGTCTTCCAGGGTTCTTAACCCTTCCTCTTGGTCCCTTTGTCCTACTTTGCCTGCCAGGACTTTAGAGAGAAGGGGCGTGGGAGACAAGGTCAGACACCAGGACCAGGATTGCAAGGGAGAGCCTTGTGCAAGGAGGTAACCAGGGAAGGGGTCTCAACCACCAGACCCAAGGGCACTAACCCAGTTAGAAGGGGGGCTCTGAGAAACTGGAGCCAACACAGGTCAGAAAAATGATCACCAGGCTGGTCCGACTCCCAAAACTGAAGGGGGGTGGTGGCTAGGCTTGGAAGAACAACCTGCTTTCAGGACAGGAAGACAGGAAGTAGAGTGGGATGTACCTGAGGACTTGGTGCTCTCTGAGAGGAAACACTAGGCCATCAGGGAAGAACAGGGGACAGACCTGTCTACTGGTGGGAAACCAATGCTTCCCCAGAAAGTTGGCCCGGGCAGGCAACTAGCAGATAGTTTTCCGATTTCCCTCTCTCCATTTCCATTTCGATTCATGGCCTTCTCAGGACAAGTTCTCTTTCACAACCAAGTTTACTCCCACAGCGAGGGAGGTAAACCTCCACGTCTGTCATGTGTGTGTGAGTGTGTGCATGAGTGTGTGCGTGAGTGTGTGTGTGTGTGTGTGTGTGTGTGTGTGTGTGTGGGTCCTAGGGAAAAGTGAGAGTTGAAAGATATTTATAGTGCCACTGATGGCTGTTCCCCATGTGGAAACATGGAACAAAGAAGGGGTTAGTTCCAGCCCCCCCAACACTAGATTCTCAACAATCATATCTGAATGAACGAATGTATAATTTAGAAGCACTTAATGGGTTTTCATTCTCCTATAGATTATCTTCGTAGCTACAGCTCGGTATTTCTTGGGCTAAAACTCCATTGACTCCTCCTCCTTTGAAATACACTTGGACTTCTTCCACGGAAGTCTGAACTTCCTTTTTATTCTCCAATGAAGTTACCAGAATCAATGACTACAGCGTTGTGAACACGGGGTGGTGGGTTCTACTAGCTGAAGATGGAAAATCAGAGGCATTGGCTTGATTTGCAAGTCTAAGAAGGCAGATTATACAAGGACTTACACGGAACAAAACCAGAAGTGACCTCAACATCACATGTGGGGTCCTTTCCTCTCTTCCTGGCACCAGGTGCTGCTGGAGGTACTGGGATGCAGCCATTCCCAAGGCACCCAGTACAGGCAGTGAATAAGCATCTGCTCTCTTCTCAAAGAACCTCTGTGTCACATGACTTCCCATGACAGCTTCCTTCTCCTGAGCATCAAGTCCATGCTGGTGGGACTGCTGAGAGCTCTACAGTTAGGATTCTCTTCACACTCACATTGACTCTCAAAGTTAATATTATCTCCATTTTCAGTTACAGAAAACTAAAGCTCAGAAAGCAAGACCAGAGCTGAGATTCATATTCAAATTCACCTTGTTCCAAAGCTTGTTTTTTTCCCACTGCACCAATCAGATTCTCTCTCACAAGAGCTTTTCTGTCTGCAGTAGCCTTCTATTAAAATAAAATAGTCTGGAGCAATATTAAGCCTAAGAGCTAATGTCTTGACTATGCTAATTGAAATTCAGGTTGGCAGCAAATAGAGATTCAGTAAACCAATTATTAGTGGATGGCTGAGGGACCTGAAATAATGACCAAGAGTCAGGAGAGGAACTGTAATTGAGATTGTTTTGTTCTAGTCTGCAGAAGTTTGAGAAAAAATATAAAGGTGATGGTGTAGGGGTCCTTTGCCATTCTGTTTTGGTGGCTTAGCATCTGACCCATCTTCCTACATCAGGGACTCCCGAGTTGGGAGATCTAACAGCATTATAGAAGATACTGATGCTCACTCCCAGTCTTCCTGGCAACTGGACATAAACATCTGTTCTAGAATCTTCTACTCATTCTCCCCACCTGAGACTGAATTGAGAGCCCTCAGTGGCAGCAAGTTTGGCTATTTGGTCCAAGGTGTCAGAGTGCTCAAGACAGTGCTGCATGCAGTCCCTAGCACAAATTGGCCTTGGCAAGGTGGCCTCAGCAGGACACATCTGCAGTGGGCTCCAGGGCACTGTGCCTGGCTGTATCATGGGTCTTAAGCCTTTCCAATAATTCTACGATCTCTACCCCTCTGTTTAAATAAAATAACAGCTACAGCAAGGAGAATTCCACATATCATAAAGGCCATTCTTTTAAGGTGTATGGTTCAGTGGGTTTCAGTATATTTCCAGACCTGTGCAACCATCAAAATTATATAATTAAGCAAGGCATGATGGTGCATGCCTGGAATCCCAGCAGCTAAGGGGTCTGAGACAGTAGGACAGCAAGCTCAAAGCCGCCTCAGCAATGGCAAGGCACTAAGCAACTCAGTGAGACCCTGTCTCTAGATAAAATACAAAATAAAATAAGCTGGGGATGTGGCTCAGTGGTTGAATGCCCCCGAGTTCAATCCCTGGTACCCCCCCCCAAAAAAAAAACCCAACAAAGCAAACAAAAATCTATATAATTACAGATAATAACCATAACTCCCCAAAAAACCCATACCCATAAGTAGTACTTCCTTCTCCTCCTATTCCCTGGCAACTACTAACGTACTTCCCGAGTCTGTGGATTTGCCTGTTCTGAACATTTCATTTAAATAGAGTCACACTCTATAGCCTCTTGTATTTGGTTCCTTGCACTTAGCTTGGTGTTTCCAGGGTCATCCACATTGTAAGAACCCATTACAGATGGCGATACAAGTTCCTGATGAGTGTATGAGTTACCATCATTACCTCCCATTCTTCCCGGTGTCTTTTCACTTTCTTGGTGGTATCCTTTGAAGTACACACTTTTTAAAATTTTGATGAAGTTTAGTTTAGTTGTTTTTCTTTGATTTCTTGTGTTTTAGCTGTAAAAGGTAAGAAAGCATTGTTCAATCCAGTCACAAAGATTTATCCCAATGTTTCCTTCTAAGAGCCTTATGGTTTTCTTTTACATATAGGTTTGTGACCCTTGTGAGTTAATTTTTGCATATGGTATGAGATAGAAGTCAAATTCATTCTTTTCCATGTGGGAATCCAGTTGTCCTAAGACCAGTTGTTGGGGGAAAAAAAAACCCAAAACATTGTTTCTTCATTGAATTGTCTTCATAACCTTGTCAAAAATCAATCAACCATAAACACATTGTTTATTTCTGGACTTGTGATTCTATTCCATTGATCTATGTGTCTATTCTTATTCCAGAGTCTCTTAGACTCAAAAGATCAGCAGTGTGGTTCTTAGAAATGGGGCCCACCAATCACCCCATGGAGAATGTTATCTCTTAACAAAGCTAGCTTTCCACAGTACCAGAGTAAGATCCTTTGAGTGCTAGAGTATTTCTGTGTGCATATGGAAAGGAGATGGGAGACTTAGGAGGAAACATAGAAACTTATATTTTTTGTACTTCCTACTACCAACAAGATAGGGGCAAGAATTTATACGCAGCAGTCAGTCTGGATAATTTAGTTGCACACTGATCAGTATAAAAGGATATTCCAGTAACATGTAGGATGTGTACGTATGTTATATGTGCCTTTGTGTGTGTGTGTGTGTGTGTGTGTGTGTGTGTCTCCTATAGTACCATGCATAACACACAGTCCTGTCTTTCCCACAGGACAGGTGTATACAGGACTTGATTAGTTTTTCTTAAGGATTTTTCTGGCTATATCCTACTCTGGCCCTTGTCCTACCCCAGAATTCCCCATTGCAGTGGGGTACAGAATCCAGCTTTGTCAGGATCTGCGGGTCCTGATTCTCCTTGTACTTTGGGCCCATCCTCTGTCTGATAATCTCAGATGAGTTGGTTTCTATGGCTATAATAAGAAGTCACAAACTCTGTGACTCATTACACCACCATGTATCCTCTTATGGCTCTGGAGGTCTGGTTTCTAAATTAGTTTCCCTGGACTGAAATTGAGGTGCCATCAGGACAAGGTTCCTTCTGGATTCTCTAGAGTAGAATTTATTTCCTTGCTTTTTTTCTGCTTCTAGATGCCACCTACATCCCTTAGCTCATGGTCCCATCCTCTGTGTCCGAAGCCAGCAGCCTCACATCCTGCTTCCACAGTGGCACCTTCTGTCTTCCATGGTCAAGTCCTCCTCTGTCTTCTCTTAGGAGGACACTTGGGATTACATTGGGACTGTCTTGGATAATCCAGGACCGTTTTTCTTTTTTTGTGGGGTGAGGGTGGGTGGTACCAGGGATTGAAATAAGGGGCATTTGACCACTTAGCCACATCCCCAGACCTATTTTTATTTTATCTAGAGACAGGGTCTCACTGAGTTACTTAGTGCCTCGCTTTCACCAAGGCTGGCTTTGAACTTGGGATCCTCCTGCTACAGCCTCCCCAGATGCTGGGATTACAGGCGTACGTCACTGCACCCAGCTAAGACAGTTTTTCTATCACAAGATCCTTAATCATGTCTTCAAATTCCCTTTTGCTACATAAGGTACCATTTACAGGTCCTGGGGACTGGGGCAAGAGCATCCTTGTGGGGTCAGTATTTCGCCTACCACACCTAGCGTGATGCCCGAGTCTTCACGAGCTGGTGAGAACTGGTGTCTGTTCTGACCAGCTGAGGTCTACGCTGTTTGTCTATATGTTAACTTTAGGTTTGTTCTGACCAGTTGTCAAATATTTTTACTATGATTCCTGTTATTAGCCCTCCCTATTAGAGAGCTGAGTGGATATGAATTCGTAGGGGGCTGAAAGAGACGGCCAGGGGGCTCCCAAATGTGTGAAACTGATTTGGTCCTGGTGTTAAGAAAGTCAAGTGTGAGTCAACAAAAAGAAAACCATTTCCAAACCAACTAGAAGTATCCACAGATGGATGGGCTGTGCAAATCTGAAATAATCAGAGACAACTAAGAGGAAAATCCACAGGAAAGTAAAGAGTGATATTTCTTGACCTGCTGAGCAGGTAGCAAGCCATTTATTTGATGGAGACCTTTCTGGGTTTCAATTTGACCTGTTCCCCAGAGACCCAATCAAGAAGGCCTTGTTGTTGTTAAGAAAGGAAGTTAAGAAACAATCAAGAAAGTTAAGGCAGAATCTAGGCCATCCTGGAAACTGGACTCCAGATGGGTCTGAACAGGAGCAACTCAGAACTGAGCATGCAGACATAGAACATTTATCTCCAGCAGGTCTCTCGACCGCACTGTGAGCCTGTAACTTACCTCCCTCCTTCCACGTCAAAGCATCCCAGAGAGTCATCACTAGTTCCATCAGTGACACAGACTCACTTGGTGTAATATGTGGGATCTGGGCCTCTTCTCTTAACAACCCAAAACTCCAGGATGGGGCTCTGGAACCTGTATTTTAATAAGAACAAATAATTCTTACATACTCCCAGGCAGGAGCACGGTGGCCATATTATTTGAAGAGACTCAGAAACATCATCTGTTCATCAACCCACTTCATTTGCCAGCTGTGATTGATTGGTCGTTGCTGCCTGGATCATGGCATTGAGATAAATTATGAGGCCTTGCCTGGGCTTGGATGGGATGGGAACAGTGATTAATTAGTAATGTGCACCATGGCCACAGGCTGGAGATGGGGGGCGGTGGTGATGAGTGCCTTCTATCTGTCATTATCTCCTAGAAAGACCTAGCTATGCTTTCCTGTTTCATGGCGATATATAGTATACGTACAAAAGTCTAGATAGAACGTACACTTTAAAGAACAAAAATAAAACACATCCTTTTAAACATTTCTCTAGATAGCAGGTTCCAAAATCTTGGGTGACACGTTGCATTGTCTCACAACTTTCTTAATGTCTAATTTAAATAAATCCCTTTTGGCACAATTTACGTCCAGTCCCTTTCATCCTATCCCCAGAGCAAAATAGAACAGCTGCTCCTCCTCTCTTACTCCATATGCCTCCCTATTTTTAAGAATTCAGTTCTCCAGAAAAAAAAAATTAATGAGACTCTTCTATTTTAATGAGTTACTTGTTTGGTGGATTGGCATTTTTCCTCCCCCAAGCTCAAAATGCTTGGTTACAAAGACAAATTGGAAGAGAAGATGGAGAGAAGAAGGAATTCAGATGGCATCCAAGTCTCTTTTCACAGATGTGTTTGGCCCAGGGGTTGGAGGGCGTAGGTGGCCACACAGCAGAACCACAACAGAGACCCAGCTCTTCTATCTCTTTGCTGAGTTAATCCCACCACAACATGATATTTGACACTTGAGTATGTTTTGAAGTGAGAGAGTAAGTTCAAGGGCAAACGTGTTGTCTTCATTTTCCATAAATATCAATGGCTTTCTATCTCAAATTCCTGAGTCTTTTTGTCAGAGGAATTCAAAGCCTGGGACAAGCTAGAAAACGGGGGGACTCATTCCCCATAAGCAACCTTAACCAAGGAGGAATATAAATGAGTGGATAAATGGTACCTAATCCCTCATTCCCCATCTTCTCATCCCTTCTTTGATGAAGATTTTCTGGGATAGGATCATTGCAGATGAGATCAAGTGAAGGGGAGATCCTACTGGATTGTGGTGGGTCTAAAACCCAAACACATATAAATACTCACAGGTATGCAATATGTATGTTAAAACCCATTAAATTATACATTTTATATAGGACTATTATATATAATACACACACACACACTATATCTCAACAAAATTTATCTTAAAAGTATAAGAATGCTTTTTTTTTCTGTGTGGTGCTGAGAACAAGCTAGGCAGGCACTCTACCATGAAGCTACTCCAGTCCCAAGAATGCTTTCCCTTTGATGCAGCTGTTCTACTTCCAGAAATTTATTACACAAAACTCTCTATACAACTGTGCAAAGATGCATGTATGATGATGTGCATTGCAAAATAGTTTGTAGTTGTGAAAACATCAACAATGCCAAAATACCCATCAAGTAGGCAGTAGATAAACAACCAGAAGCTAAAGAACTGCTGTGGCCTACCCTGCATACCCCAGGGGTCTCTGTCTCCCAGCCTTGCACACTGCCTGGCACTCTAAATAGAGATGTGAAAAGAGGGTCAATAAAGATAGATTACATGAGAGGCATCAATGTGAAGGAATAGAGATCCCACTTAGTGCAGAACTCTTTTTATTAGAGCCAGATTTTATGTCTTTGGGGTTATATAGCAAGATCGGGGGTCTTGCAGATCTTGCAAGATTGGGGGTCTGATCTTGGGTGAGGCTGAGACACCCCTGAGAGAGGTGAATCAGAATGATGTGCAGTTTGCTGCAGGGAGGGGGAGGGGGAGGAGTTGTGCCAGTAGCTCCGCCTCGTTTCTTGGTGCCAGAATCCTTCAAATCAGGAGGTAGCTCTGTGTCCTCAGGATACCATAACTGTGTGCCCTGGGACATGGAGAGCTAGAAAGGGAAAAGGACCCCATGCTCCTGTCACTGGGACCTGGAACTTGTGCTGGCAGATTCTGATGAATTACAGAAGTTGTTCAGACAGAGGCCGGAAGACAACCAGGAGAGCAGAGTGGCTTAGCATGCTTGGTTAGGGCCGTGGTGGTCATAAACCCCAGGAGGTTCCCTCCAGTGGCCAGAGCAGGAGAAGCAGGCAGCTGGCCCAGGTGGAACAAGGCAGAGCAGAGCTGAGCATGAGATCAGGTGCTGGGCTACAGTGAGGGGAACACGGGCGTTTAGATGGACCCTAAATCCAGTTGTGGGTGTCTTTGGAGGGAAAGAGAGGTTTGGAGACACAGAGAAACACCAGAGGGAAGGCCATGTGACAAGGGAAGCAGAAATTGGAGGAATATAACCAAGAAATACCAAGGATTGCTGGGAGCCTGCAGAAGCTGACAGAAGCGAGGAAGGGTCTCTCTGAGCACCTTCAGAGATAGCACAGGCCCTGGGTTCAGACTTCTGGTCTCCAGCACTGCGAGAGAACACCTTTCTGTCACTTTAAACCAACCAGCTGTGGCACTTATTACAAAGGCCCAAGGGGACTAATACATAACCCATGATGATATCAATACATATTACTCTCACTACTAATGCTACATAGTGTTTGTAGAAGGAAGCAGGAAGGAGCAAGTAACATTATTTTAAGCATAAACAGTGGTGAAAAGACACTGAATTTTCTGTTATTAAATTTAGAGAACAAGTAGGAATTCATTCACCATAGGCATCTTTTACCATCAGTTTGGCCATTAAAGCAAAGCTTTGGGCTTAATGAGCTTGGGGTCAAGTCTTAGTTCTGTCACTCACCTACTGTGTGACCTTGGGGACATCACTTAATTTCTCTGGAGATCAGTTTTCACATCTTTAAACCTGGAATCATAATAGCTCCTACCCAAGAGGTTGCAGTGAGTAATAAAGAAAGCCAAGGTTTGGGAGCCTGTGGAGGCCCTGGCCCCTGGTAAGGGCTGCTAATCAGCAGCTGTTGTTATTGTTGTTAACTTATGAACCTAATGATTTGTTTTTCAATAAACTGGCTTCAGCTAGCACTGGGAAAAAATAATCTGGACTGGGCCAATGAGTCTCCTAGCAAACACACTCTCTGCAGAATTGATGAGATGCCAAGACCTCTTTATTGCAGTTTTAAAGTCAGATCCAGAAGGTTCAAACTGCTTATCAGTGTCACCTACAGAGACAGCCATTTATTGCCTATGTATGCCCCATGGAAGCAGAGGCCAAGACCATCAATACGAGTTTGCTCCCAAGTACTCTTCATTCCCAGGAGAATCAGTGGAAACATTGACAGTGGCTGGCTCCTAATACTCCTGTGTTTCAATCAGGTTTTTCACCACTGCGACCACAAGATCTGACAAGGAAAATTTTAGAGGAGGAAAATTTTATTTGGGGCTCAGTTTCAGAGGTCTCAGTTCCTAGACAGCTGGCTCCATTGCTCTGGGCCCAAGATGAAGCAGAACATCATGGCGGTAGAGTGTGGTGGAGGAAAGCAGCTGGGGACGTGGCCAGGAAGCAGACAGAGCTCTCTGCCCACCAGGTGCTTATGCCCTCAGAGGACAGAATCCTCATATTATTTCATCTTCTTGAAGTTTGATGTTACCTATCTTCTTATTCAATGGGATATAATTTCCTCTTGCCCGTTTCTTTTTTTAAAGCCGAATTCCTAAACTCCTTTATAATGCTTTTCCTGGGAAATGACCTCTTGGATGCATTAAGCACTTTCACCTTCTCTGTCTGGGAAGGGGGCACATGTGCGCCATCAGTCTATTGGGAAGGTCTGGCTCATACTCCATAAGTTATCATAACTCTACATATAACTTAAGGTCCTCTTAAGCTCTAAAGAGTATAAAGAGTATAAATGGATTCCCACCTGCCGAGCTGGCTTCTAGGAAAGATGCAGGGTAGAGACATCTTACTCTCTGATCAAAATATAAATATTAATATCTTTTCCCTCTTTGTTTTGTTTTTAATTAAAAGCTCAGTTCCCATCAACCAGATTTAATTGATACTAGCATTTCACCTTATTTGCTTCAAACATTGCAAATATATCTTGAGACACCCTGTCCATCCCACTTCTCAGACCCTCATGGATAAACACCTACATACAATAAAATGAATTTGAATTTTTGTTCTATTTGATAGCTCAGGAGGGAAATGGAGTCACTCCACTGCCTTTTTCTTCTTTCTACTTCTTTTGGGGACTTGGTTGATGCTTTTTGAATGAAAATAAATAGACCCCAACTGTCAATCATAGAGATGTGGCTTGTGAACATCTTTGTTCATCTTGCAAATAGTCTAAATTTGATGGAAAAAAACCCCCTTAGGTTATAGTAAAACAGTTCTTTTGACATATCCACTGAGCCTCAGAACATTGTCTACTTTGTATTAGTCCATTGGAATTTATAATCCTAAATTAGCCTCTGCAAGGAGAGTCCAGTCAAGCCCACGAACCTATCCAGTGTAAATTTCTTGCTCAGCACTGGTTCAAGGCCTAGGGAGACATAAGCAAATAGCAGAGGTTCAACTTTCAAGGAGTTGATGAATCAATGAAGATAAAAACATTTTAAAGAAGAAGAGACAAACTGTATCAAATTTGAAATCATGTGGGGAAGAAAATTTGAGCCGTAAATGTAGGAAGAAAACAGTGTATGGGGGCGAAGTCAGGATCTGAGAATAAAAAAGCAGCAAAAAGAGAGACGAGATGTAGAAAGGATGATGCGAGTCCTGCTGAAGACTTGGTTTCGTTTTTCTAAAAACTTTCCTTTGAATAATTCACAAAGTACTCTGCAGAGTGTTGTTTTAGCTTTTAGACCACTTAATAAATATTGATTATAATGGCAGAAAATGTAATTAAAAATTAAAATAAAATTATTATTAAGCTACTGAACCTTACCTCCTAATATCATTTGGTAAATTGTTGTC